GGAACATTTCAGACCAAGTGAAAGCCAACACGGAAGAAAAAACGAAGTCGACAAAAAAAAAAAGAACCAGAGACAGACGTTGGCTTTGTCCGCGTATTCTGTGGCAAATTAACTAGGTCACAGTTAAGTTAGATTACCTATGTGAATTTTTTTTCTACTCTTTCTTTCTACTTTTGGCACTCAGAAACAAGCCTTTTATTATTACAAAGTAGGATCATAAGACTTTTTGAAATAGCTAAAAGTAGGCTATAAATAGAAAATTACACTAAAAAAAAATAATAATATGGTTTTATTTTCAGACACTATTGTCTATGATGAGTGCTATGAAAAAGCAAAGGATCTTCAAATTGAGCATAAAGGCTACACTCCAGATGCACTAGGACTGACAGGTGACTCTACTGTGTTTTAACTTGCCACTTTCAAAAGATAAAATTAATTTTGGAAAAAAAATGTAAATAAATGCGAATCTTAAAATATCAAAATTTCATTCAAAAAAATTGCCTGAATCTTGACACAAGTGCAGCCATATAGGGCGAAAATTTTGAATAGGTATTTTCACCATCAACTAAACATTGTTACGAACGATGAACTGAAATTGACTTTTAGCGACTAAATAAGAAAAACTTTAAGCAACAAAAGGATATGAAAATTGTATTCTGTTGTACTAAAAAGTACATTAAAAGTTATAGTAAACATTTAAAAATAAAAGTAAAATTCATCAACAGTTCATTTATATGTACACCGGAAACAGCAAACAGCTAATATTTTGCCCCTCCAAAAATGAAAGCCTGTATTATACTTAAAAGCTTTTCGCAGCTTGTTTTTGTAATATCTGTTATGATTCGAATTTCTCGCCCTGTAAGTAGATCTAGTTACGGTAATTAAAATGTTACTATCGTAAACATTTTCACTTTTATTTTCAATGACTGTTAGTTTAGCGTAGAATATTTGTGTGTGATTAAAGGGTTTAGATGTAGGTCTAGCCTACATTAAGTTCTTTTGTGTTGTAGTTAAAAATACATTTAAATTATATTCTTTTCGTATTAAATTAGTTAAAACAGTATCTGTTTTAAAAAATAATTATGAATATAAACCACAGCGGTAACACTACCAATTCCAATACTCACTACTAAAATGTTGCAACATATTTTAACACAGGAAAAGGATTAAAACAAAACAATATATTATGGGTTTATATATAGGTATCTATTTAGTAACAAAAAACTAAAACACCAGCAGTATTAATTGTTGAAAATATACAACGTAAGTTCAAGAGTTCGAATAATTATTTGTACAGATTCATACATATATATGTGTATAGTTTTATTGTATACATAAGTGTAATTTTTAAAACAATTCTTTTTTTTTAATCTATCGCACAGCGTTCATACTAGTCATATTACTGATGCTGATGATAATCATTTATATCAAAGGAAAGTGTTTAATTCAGAAACTAAAAACAAAAACAATGCCACAACAAAAGTCTAAGGCAGCGACAACAGTGGAAACAGATTTAGGTAGTAATGTTTCTTCTTCAATCTCTTTCCTCCTCTAATCTTATAGTTCTCAGACGTTACTTCAATATAGAAAATTACATTTTACGCATTCCATGTGTCAATCTAATCATGAATGTTAATAAAGGACTTAAATCCTGCTAAGTCGTTGGTTTTCCTGGCTGATACAGGCAACGCATTCCATTCTCTAATGGCACTAGGAAAGAAGAAACACTTGCACGAATTAGTCCTAGCTTATGGCTCCTTTCTCACTCTCTTATCTCCTCCTTTTGTCTTTCTTCTCAAATTAGTCTTTACCAATTTTCAAGTTGTCTCCCATTCTTTTCTCTTTTTTGCTTGCCTTCTCCCCAATTGATGTTTCATTGAATTCTGCACTAACTGGCATTCAAGTGTTGTTTGAGTTCAATAAGTTATGAAAGACATTTACTATCTTGACACCAAAGATTAGGTAACTTTTCTACTTGACACCAAAGATAAGGTAACTTTCCACATGACACCAAAGATAAGGTAACTATTCCACTTGACACCAAAGATAAGGTATCTCTTCCACTTGACAAAAAGACACCACTTAACACCCGAGATAAGGTAACTTATTTAAACTTATCCACTTGACACCAAAGATAAGGTAACTTTTCTACTTAACACTAAAGATAAGGTAACTTTTCTAATAGATATCTACGATAAGGTAGCTTTTCTTACCATACATGTCTACATATTATTGGGGCCTTGTTATCTCTAACGTATTTAATACGTTTCAGCGATCTCTTTACCTTTAATACGGACGGTACATTTTAAAATCTTTTTACCATAAGTATTTAAGCATTTCCTTGACATGTAAGAAAGATCCTCGTGTAAGCGACACTGGTAACAAATTATATAAAGAAAAAAAAACATTATCACATATTACAGGAATGTCTTGCTCTGTTATACAGAATGTGCAAGTAGCCAAGAAATTGATTGCAACGACAACAGGACCAGGTCACGCTTGACTGATTCAAAACTGGAACATCCAACAGACGATGTAAAAAACTCTTCACTTGGGCAAGAAAAAAATCCATTGATCAAGACAGAAAATGTAGATAATATACAACCAACCAATGTAATTCAACCGAAGGGTAACGCAATGCCAGTGGGCGACTTACATAGACCAAATTACATTCTCTTCTGTAAAAAATGTCTAAATTCTAATTTGACTGATATGGATGACTATCATGATGATTGTAAAGAATTCATGGATATAGCAAGAGATTTGATTAAGACACGCCACAAAGGTAAGCTTTGAATGTAAGAGGCATGTCAAATAAAAATGTTAAACCTATATTATTGACTATCAGGGGATTTGAATCAACCTTATTATTCTTCAGTGTGTTATAAAGTGCTTGTAAAATGATATTTTGAGAAACAAGAAATTGTTACATATATCTAATTGTAACAGTGTAGGAAAACACAAAAAACAACAACAGAATTAACAACAGTACCATTAACAACAATAACACCAGCAACATTAATAACAATAACAACAGCAATATTAACAATAACAATAGCAACATTAACAACAGCGACAATAACAATAGTGACATTAACAACAATAACAACAGCAACAATAACAATAGTGACATTAACAACAATAACAACAGCAACAATAACAATAGTGACATTAATAACAATAACAACAGCGACATTAACAACAATAACAACAGCGACATTAACAACAATAACAACAGCGACATTAACAACAATAATAATAGCAACAATAACAATAGTGACATTAACAACAATAACAACAGCGACATTAACAACAATAACAACAGCGACATTAACAACAATAATAATAGCAACAATAACAATAGTGACATTAACAACAATAACAACAGCGACATTAACAACAGTAATAATAGTAACAATAACAATAGTGACATTAACAACAATAACAACAGCGACATTAACAACAATAACTACAGCAATTGCAAAAAAAACAAAAAACAACAGAAACAGAAAAAGGAATTGTCACAAGAATAGCAGAAATAACACACGCACTAACGATTCTGATAATTTCCAATATTTGTACATTTCTAATTTTATTCCTACTTGCGACATGTACCACGTTATCAAGTAATCATCAAAACTAACCAATGGCCTAACTCAATGCCGCAATATACTATAACTAAACCTTTCTATCATAGAAAACAAGATGAAACTTGACTAAAGTAAACACGTCATACTAGAAGGTGTTCCATAAAGGGAAAATATCTTATAAGTATTCTGGAGTGGTTATTTCTTTAAAATTTTGAGTTTTCTAAATAAATAAAAATATCTGTCATACAAATTGATTTTTAGTCATAGTTTTATAATGGAAGTGGAAACATTACTGCAATGAAAAGTTTTACAATATTGCATTTCTCATATTTCTTTGTGTAAAAGTAAATAATAATTAGCTTGAAATATATTTTTAAAAAATTCTTTTTGAACGATGTAGGAACACTAAAAAGTAAAGATCAGGAGCGAGACTTTGTAGGATGTCATCTAGATAAAGATCAGACCACTAAGCCAGCTAAGTCATTCACAAAGAAAAAGCGTGCTTGTGAAGCTTCTGGTTCTGTTGAAGAGATCAAGCTACTGATGGATAAAAGCCAAGGAGATGCTGCTTCTCATTTACAAAGTCCTTCTATAAGCTCATTAAATGCAGTTTCACCAGCAGAAGAAAAACTCTTTGTCGATTCTTTAGGTGATTCTTCTAAAGGTATAACAGTTTCTAAAGTTTTCTTTAGTGACATGAGATTTTTAAAGTTAACTTATTAAATCATTTTGACTTCCAGTCGAGCATCGGGCCACAACAGTACTTCGCTATCGGACCCTGTTCTGGCCAATTCCCTTCAATTAAGTGTTTGTTCATCCCCCTGTCATTGCATCTTGTTCTATTGATCTCCTCTATGTTTTCTTAGTTCACCCAGTCTTTCTTTTCACGTGTAGGTTCCAGTTCAGAGCCCGCTTTGAAATATTTTTCTTTGTTCTTCGCATTATATATCTAATTGGCCCCTTTGGCGTCTTCTGTGATTTTTTTTTTTTAATTTTTTTATTTCGCTGGGTTGTATTCCTCCGACTTGAGTTACAGATTTTGAAACAAAAAAATGGCATCCATTTCAATAGTGTATTCTTTTTTTTTTGTCTTTGGTTTCAAAGGTTGTATGGCAAAGGTGAGGGTGGTCATTAAGGATGATTTATACACAGTCCGTTTAGTCACACTCCACATTTTTCCACGACTAATTTAATATACTATTTTACCCAATCATATTGTCAATTAAACACATGTTTTACTTACGACTATCTCACGCTATACATAAAAAAATAATTAAAATAAACTTTTTTTGTTTGTTTTAGGTATGTATCAATATATTGAAGTGCACCTGGAAGATAAAAGTTCTGCTAAAGAAAATTTTCCAGTTCTTCAATGAGTCGAAACCTCCAGCAAAAGGAATAGAAACACTTTCAGAAGGACCAGACAACAGATTAGATGGGGAAAGTAATTTGTCACAAGCAGAAATAAGAATATAAATGCTTTTGTATTAACAACCCAACCTTAAAAAACATCATGGTTTATATTTGTAACCGCTCATACATCGAAGATAAGTATTTATTCACTACGTTGCATTAATACTCAAATCGCTTTAAAGCAGTAAGGCTCAAAATTTTTGTTTAGATGTATTCTATTTTTTTTTTTTAATTTTAAATATAAATCAGAAGAGAAAAATTTCAATCAATTTTTTTTTAAATTTATACTTGCATTTGAAATTGTTTGTTCTATTTATATTTTTGAAAAATTAATATTGAAGTAAGAAAGTTACGGTCATTATAATTACTGTTTACATAAAATTAGTGTCAAGGAAAATTTAAAGAAATAATTTCATGAATTGCCTTACGCTAATCTTATTATTATTAAAAAAAAAAACTAAAAAAAAACAACATGACAGATTTGTTTTTATTTAATTTGAAAAATCATAACTCTGATTACGTTTTAAGTGTTTCAATATTCTTCAAGCAATACAAACTTGTTCAAGGAAAATAAAGAAGGGAAAGAAATTTAATGGAATCGAAAAAATACCCCCACCCCAACGTTCCCCAAACATTTCTGGTTACGCCCATGTATAGATCTACTCAAAGATTCTAGATTTCATATATAGATTCAGACTAGGAAAAATAAAAAGACGTTAGTGTAGACTAGAATACTGGAGCTAGTTAGAACTATAGTATTGACATTTGGTTATTGAAAACTTGTAGATGGAGTGCATATGCTTATTATCACATAGTTAATTCTAATGTCTACATGTGACTGACAGAAAATGTTTCTGAACTTCTGTCAATTTCTTTAACTTTTTTCTAAATACATGCGGGAATTCCGTGTGTCCAAAATAGACCGAAATTAAATTTCAAGGTGATTATATATATATATATATATATATATAGAGTTCACTGTTAGGCCAATTAGCTTGAATTATTTTCCACCTATGATTTACATAAACTATAAATATCTAGGAAAGTCGTTTGAGTCGTTTTTGAAATGCCTGTTCTGGGCCCAGACTCAAACTATAAAGAGTTAACAAGCTAAAAACAGGAATTTCAAGAAAGTGCACTAAAATTATGCTAGAATAATAAAACCAGTTGATCAACACTCTCTGTTCTGTACACAAATACTTCAAAATGCTAAATGTTAATTGATAAAGTGTATTTATGTTTCTTGTGCGTTGTGAACTTATCTGTTCTTGTGTGTCAAAATGTCTTAGAATCCAGGTCAGCTTGTTTGTGTGTAATCTGTTATCGTGAAGTGGTTTGTTACTCTTGTTCAATAAAGCATAGAATCAAGACATGTTTTCTTGTAGTGTTTCATTAGGTTACTACAATTTATTGAACAAGAATCTTGTGGACTAATCGTGCTTAAAGCTTCAAGTATGGATTGTTTTCTAAAACCTGAAAGATTGGTGGTGGATCCTAATGATTCGAACGCTCAAAGGATCTGGAAGCACTGGCTTCACACATTCGAAAAATTTGCATTAAAACTAATTGTACCAGAAGGTGAGAAGTTCGATCTACTCTGTAACTTTATCTCACATGATGTGTATGAATTGATATCTGACTGTACCGATTTTCAAACTGCTGTAACTACACTAAACGGACTCTATGTCAAAATAAACAAAGATTTTTATGCCCGCTGTCTCCTATCTAACAGGAAACAGGAAACGGGACAGGTATATTCAAAGATTTAAATTGTTGGCTAAAGACTGCCATTATAGAGCTGTCTCTGCCCTCGAAAACCAGAACGAGGCCATTAGAGACGCATTTATTAGTGGCATGTCATCACCAGATATTAGGCAGAGACTTTTAGAGTAGGCCTAGTCATCTCTCGACCTCGCAAAGTCATTGGAGGTAGCTAGATCTCTGGAGATGGCACAGAAACATTCTGTGACATATAACTCGCAACAAGCCACTACTTTTCAAGCACCACAAGGACAACAACCCACTACGTCAGAAATGCCGCTTTGCTCTGCCGTAGAGGACAAGATTGATTCGGCACCCGTTACGATAGCTGCATCCGCCTGCAGCTCAAGGCAAGTGCTTCTTCTGTGGAGGTGCTACCACTCTAGTAGCAAATGCCCCTGCTAAAGAGGCAATCTGTAATAAATGCGGTAAAAAGGGACTTTCAAAAAGGCATGCTAATCAAAACTTTCTACAGTTTACAGACATAACTCTCAACAGCGTATACAATAACAGCCGATAGTAGAAGAATCCAGTTATATTTTTTTGATTCACTCTGGATTATTATATGACGTCAAAAATTTCGCTTATTAAACGACTTTTAGATGACATGACATAAAATTTTAATCTTTCAATCAGTCAAACGTAGCTACTGAATTAAAGACAACGTAATTTATCCTATAAGTCTTTTCAGCTATGCCACCTATTTAAATTATATGCTTTCCCAATCTATTTGGGAGCGTCTGGTAACCTTTTTTTAAGTCGTAATAACATACAGTTACTGGGTTCTTTTTTATTTTAAGTAAATAAATCTATTTGAATCAAAACATTGTGTATAATATTAAATTCAGAGTTTATTCCACCAAAACCTAAATCACGGTTGAAAAGTTTGAAACAATTATTTTTGTGCAAATATGAGCAAAAGTATTGCTTAATTGCAATAGGTTTTGTAAATTGTGTTCGAAATGAGATAAAGAATGAAATCTGAGCATAAAGATATACTATCAACAAAATTGTTTAATAACTTTTCATTATGATACATAATATTTATAAATATAATATCTTCTCATATGTTTTAGCGTTAAATGATATTTATATAACACATCAGAAAACCTACAAAGACATATAATTAATAATTGTAGTGGAATCAGGTCTAATAAAAACTATGGGCTTGTATGTGTGTTAAAAAATGCTAGTTTGAAAATTGGGGAAAAGATTCTGAACAATAGTATTAAGAAAACAATAGAATACATTTTTAATTTTCAAAGTACTTTATTTAGAGAGTCAGATTTTTTTAATCAGTAAGACTAATTATTCTTTAAAAAGTATATATATATATATTGCATTGATTGGGTAATGCGTGAGTATTAATTTGAAGCTCAAATTGACAAATTTAATTAATGTTACCTCACTTACCTGTATAGCAGTACGCTTAATTGTCAATCTATGCAATTATTAAAGATTCGCCAATTGCATGAAATATTAATGATACATTTTTTCATTCTCTTTCTGTTCTCTCTTTCCACTTCTCTTTTACAATCTTCCTTTCTCACTTCTCCTCTATTGTCTCTTACTCTTCTTTCTTTCCCTCTCTTCTTATTTTTTTTCTTTAATTCTCTCTCTCTCTCTTTTTCACTCTCTCTCTCTCTCTTTATTTCTCACTCTTTTTTTCTTTCCTTTCCTTGGGACAAAGACATACAAAGTTTCTATTCCACGTTTATACATATTTCTAGCCAAAAGTTTGACGTTAAATTCATGAACCAGCTAATGATGTTTACACTTTACGAAATAGTAGCAAATAATTTTTTTCTTATCATCTCAGCAGAAGTTCTTTGACAATCTCGTCTTCTGAGATCTTTTCAGCATTTCTGCAGTTGGAGTCCTCGTTTCCTTTATATTCATCTTCAGGCTTTCTATCAGACTCCATTATATGCGCTTTGTCGATGTTCTTTTGTGAAACCAATGGAGTCAGTGTGTTGATCCTAACATTGTTTTTGTTACTAAGGTCAATGATGCCCTCTTCTGTAAAGGAGGATTAATACAAACGTAAGACATTTGTTTTGAAATGGGTTAAAACTTCATAAATAATTACTACAGCATGTGATATCTCATAGTGGATTCCTGTTATATTTACTACCATTAAAAAAAAAATCATCTCCGATAAGCTAAGTCATTGCGTCACCAGATAATATTTGAGAACAAAGAGTTTACATATAAAAGAGAGAGAGAGAGAGATTTGTGATCGAGTAAATGGTGGAGAAACTTGCTTTGTTTGTTTGTTTGTTCTGTATGTTCTTTCAGAATTAAACATTATTATATTCTAGCCTAAACCTCACACAGGACAGCGGGGAATCGAGTCAAGTAAACTTTCCAACATCGAGAGGAAGTCCAGAGTTCATACCATACGATCAGGCAGTTACTCTAAGTCTTTTTAATGACTGCTTGTAGGGCTTAAGTTTATAACTTATAAGTCTTTTTAATGACTGCTTGTAGAGCTTAAGTTTATAACTTATAAGTCTTTTTAATGACTGCTTGTAGGGCTTAAGTTTATAACTTATAAGTCTTTTTAATGACTGCTTGTAGGGCTTAAGTTTATACCTTATAAGTCTTTTTAATGACTGCTTGTAGGGCTTAAGTTTATAACTTATCAGGAAGCAACGCTAACACGAGAATATTATTAACGCTGAGAAAAATGAAATGTTTCAAACAAACTTAGAAGTAAACATTGTAATAAATATTCTCCTCATTATATGTCAAAGGGCTTTAGACCTGATGAAGAACTTGCATTCTCTTCTATATATGGTTACTGGTCAAGAAAAGTGAACAGGTGTTTACCTGCATCTACCACTATTTTAGACAATAATCTATTGAAGTAAATTGTAATAAAAAGGCCTACATAATCATAGACTGTCAGGCATAGAAAATTGACTTTTCCTTCAGGAGATTTAATCAAAGCCATGGTTTATTTTTTGTGACAAAAGTATATATAGAACTACATTTTCCAATATAGATTTTTGGTAAAGCTTCAGATATTCATTCATATGACACTCTAGCCCGAAACCCCTTGCTGGATGCAGCGAGCAGGGTTTGAACTCGAGACGACACAGACGATAGCTTACCACAGGATCAGGCAGTCGTCTATTAATACAGCACAAGAGGTATCTTACCCAAAGGCTTCATTTCGAGTAAACATTTTTCAACGGGCTTGCTCATTGGCGTACTGGCTGTCACGTGGCTTGTATATAGGTTATCTTCAGCAGTCTGTTCTTTGAAACTCATATCTACCACAAATGATGATGCTTTACATGTACTAGATTCTTTAATTAATGGATGCGCTGATGACTCTTTACTTGAAATAGATTCTGGTGAAAACAAAAATACAAATGTCTAGATTATAAGTAAACATGTGATGAGATATTGTCCTTTGAGAAAGTATAATCATTTATTATATAATCTAAAACGCAAGATGGGATTCAGGCTTGGAGTTACAAAGGGAGAGAAATGAAGAAAACAAAAAAGACATTTAGTTATTTAACTGTGCCCATGTTCCAGGCTATTTCTAAAGACTTGAACTTGGCTCCATGCCTGCAATGTACAGTGTCGTGGCTAGGGTGGGGAGGGGGGAAGAATTTGAAAATCCCCCAAATGAGTGTTCTAAATTTATTTTTACATTAAATATTTGAGATTTTAATCAAAATGCAGGGGCCCACATAGAGGTCAAGCCACCCCACGGGCCCACAAATGATGTCGAACTCCTAGCTACGCCTATAATAAACATAGAAGGGTTAGAAAAAGTACGTTCTTGTGCTCTGCCTTTTGTTCGGCAAAATTCTATGCTAACCAGTGCTCGATTTAGGAAAAAACCAGTCCCGGGGATGAAAAAATTTTCCGCAGAGCCGGGGATAAATACCCCGGCGGGGATGGTAAAAGTTAAAGCAGAGCTGGGGTTGGAGCCTCACAGTGCCGGGATATACCGGTTTCGCAACAATCTGAGCCCATCTACTAATCCTGCTACTCCCACTACTACTATTATTATTATTACTAACACTTCAACTACTAGTGCTACTACAATATAACATGACACAACATGCGAAAACAAATTATTTACAATACAACACTTAAAAACAAATTATATACAACAGGTTCTAATGTTGAAATTTATTTTAATTTGTTTGTTTCATTTTTTCAAATATCTTGGTTGAATTTACAGTTTTTAATAAAAACTAGCTTGTTGTTGAGATGGAATTTACTTTTAAATGGAAAGTGTGTTTTTTAGCTAATAGATGTTGTTGTTGATGTTGATGCAGTAGATGACGTTGTTGTTGATGCAGTAGTTGATGTTGTAGATGAAATTGTTGTAGATGTTGTTGTTGCGTTTGTTCATGTTATTGATGATGTTGTTGTTGATGACGTTGTTATTGTTTTTGTCGTTGATGTTGTTGTATATATGGTTGAATTTACAG